AGTGATTGCTTTAAAAGTACAGTTTACTGCAACATCACTTTTAAAGGTTGGCACTGGGGAATACTTGTTTCTGAACTGATTTTTGGATTGGCAACAGGCTTTGAGGATGATTTTCATTCATTTTTTGCTCTATCTCTTAACAAAGATGCTGTCATCTTTGACCTCTGGCATTCTGAATAAGCATCATGGGACCTCAATCTCAGAAGACACCTTACAGAGTCTTAAACCAATGAGTGGGCTAGGCTTTCGCACATGTTTGCTAATATTATGCTTGCTGAAAAAGCTGACGTTTGGGTTTGGAATTTATATCATAATGGTTTCTTCACTAAATCTTTGGCCGAAACACAGTCCACTGCAGGTATCCAAGGCACAGAAGCATTGTATAAGATGATTTGGCTGGAAAATATCCCAAAACATTAAAGTTTTTCCCTTGGGAACTTAGCCATGTTTGTCTCAATACACAGGATAAGCTGCAAAGAAGAACTCCGGGCATCTCTCTATCACCCTCATGTTGCATTATGTGTACAAGGGTCCGGAACTCACAATCTCCTCCCATTTTGTGTTCCTTTGCTTGATTTTATTGGGAATTTATCTCCCAAAGTTTTGGTTGGTCAGTCACTCCTCCGACAGATATTCGGGCTCTACTTAGTATTGTCCTCCTTGGTCGTTTGTTCAAGAATGAAAGGAGACTCTTTGGCTTAACTACACAAGGGCCTTCCTTTGGCTGTTATGGCTCGAAAGGAATTCTCTCATTTTCTCCAATACGATTCAAGACTTTGATTTTTTTTTTCTTCTTGTGTTACTTACACGGTTCTTAGTTGGTGTAAAGTCATTTCTCCTTGTTTAATAACCGCTTAAGCTACCTTATAGCCAGTTGAAAATGTTCTTTATAATCCTTTGGATAACCAGTTGACAAATTTATTTGAAACCTTCATAGCTACTGCTAACAAGTTTATTTGAAGCCTTCATAGCTACCATTGAATCATGCCTTGAAGTTGAAGTCATGCAAAGAATATTGGACATGAACCCATCCAATTCAAGTTGAGGATGAATGATATCTATTACTCAACTTGAGAGGGGTGTCGATTAAAGTTTGAATACATTGGACCTGGTAAAACAAAACAATGTAAAATGTTAACACAGTGCCACTCTGTATGGCACATGCTCCAGCTCTGATTCCATACTCGATCAGCTCCTTGTTACTTTCGAACATTAGAGTACTTGAATGAGTACAAAGACTTTGTAAGTAGCCTACTTATAGGTTCTTAATTGTGTCCTTAAGGTGCTAGTGTAGCACATTCTAACTTTGTCATATTCTTGTTCTTGGTCTGAGATTTTAGGTGCTTAGGGTCTGTTCTTGGGTTTTGAGTTTTTATTATAATCTAATCCAAGGGCCTTGGTCTTAGGTTTTGAATTTTTAATCTTAACTTTGATCTAAAAACCTTAGTTCTGAGGTTCTCGATTCTTAAATCTCACAACTCGGATCTTGGTCCATGTTCTAGTTCTTATCCCTTCGTTCATAGTTTTTTATCTTAATTCTTGTTCATCTCTTTAGTTCTTGTTCTTGGTTCTTGTCTCTTGAGTGGTATCCAGCCATCTTCTTATCTTAAAGGACTTGGGGTTTATATAGTGCTACTTCAGGACATTGGTGTGTGGTAACTTGTCTTGATTCATGATTACTTAAAAATCAAATGCTACCTAAAGCTTACTTGAATCATGACCTTCGGGTAGCATATTGATTACTTAAAAATCAAAAACTACCTAAAACTTATTATGAGGCAGCTTCCTGATTATTTAAAAATCCAGTGTTAACCTTGAACTCATCTTGAGTTTGAGTAGCCTCATTGTTCCTTAAAAACCAAGAAGTGTCCTAAAGCTTAACCTGAGATAGCATCCTGGTTACTTGAAAATTAAGGGCTAATTTTGAGCTCTTCTTGAGTTAGGGTAGCCTCCTGGTTACTTCAAAAGAAAAAGCTATCCTTAAAGCTTATCATGAGGTAACATTTAGATTACTAAAAAATCAAGGATGAACCTAGAGTTCATCTTGAGTTTGGGTAGCTTTCTACTTAAAAATCAAGGTTCATCCCTAAGTGTAACATGAAGCTTATAACACACCGGATCATGATTCTTGATAACATTCAAAACCCTAAAGTGAGTACAACTTATATTCATCTTCTAGGCCCATTGGAATCATTTACCGGCATATATCTTAGGGTTAACCATTAGTGGCATTTTAGTTATTTTCCTTGAGCCTTTAACTTATACCCTTAACATGGTGTAGGTTCTATACTTGAAACTTAGGTGATCTTTCATGTCTTTACACATAGGCTTTAACTTAAGACACATAGGCTTTAACTTAAAATCTTAAGTCATTTGGAGGGTGTTTGTACATTGGTGTATGTCTTAAAAGAACCTTGGGGGCATTATTGCATCCTAAATTTGGTTCTTGCTTCAATGGTTCTAAAAGTTTGTATAATCCTTAAACAATATAAAATAAGGCCTCTTATATAGTTTCATGATATTTGGAGGTCATTTGGGTCATGAACTAGAGGTAGTTTACCATAGGGGCATTATGGTTAATTTGTATGGTTACTTGGTGTAGCTACTTAACTTTATCCCATGACTACTAAATTTCATATATAACGTTAATATGTCGTATTATGCCTAGTATTAAAATTTTATGAGAAGTGAAGTTTGTTTAGTGGGTTATTTTAACGTTACTTGATTCTTGAGCAAAACGCTCTGTTTAGGTCCTTAGCTCATGGTTCTTTGCTTATTTCTTCCATATTCCTTTAAATCATACTTAAGGTTCATATTGAAGTCCAAGTGATTCTTACCAGTATTTCTTAAGTAATGTCTAGATTGGTTGCTTACCCTATCGTTGATGCTCGGGTTGTATAATCTCAAGCTTTCGGTATTTGAATTACTTCAAATTTTCTTTGGTAGATCCATTTTTTAGTTTAGTTTTTTGAACCATCAAGTATTTTTTAAGAAATGTCCAGATTGGTTGCTTACCCTATCGTTGACGCTCGGGTCCTATGATCTCAAGCTTTCGGTATTTGAATTACTTCAAATTTTCTTTGGTAGATCTATTTTTTAGTTTATTTTTTTGGAACCATCAAGAATTTCTTGAGAACCGGTCTGGAAGGGGTTTAATTTTGAGAAAAATTGTGAGAAGATCAAAATTTCGGCTAGCGTGGCCGGTCCAATTGTATCGGCCACGTCATCATCTTTTTCCCCAAGGGGAAGAAGACATGTGATCCCTTTCGAGCTTCCTTTGAAAATTAAATGCTAATTTTGAGTTCTTCTTGAGTTAGGGTAGCCTCCTAGTTACTTAAAAACAAAGAGCTATCCTTAAAGCTTATCATGAGGTAACATTTAGATGACTTAAGAATCAAGGATGAACCTAGAGTTCATCTTGAGTTTGGGTAGCTTTCTACTTAAAAATCAAGGGTCATCCCTAAGTGTAACAGGAAGCTTATAACACACCCTTATCATGATTTTTGATAACATTTGCCTGTAGGCTCCAATTGAATTTTAATAAATTTCCGTCCTTACGACCATGGATACTCAAATGGGGGGATTTGGACCACTTTTAGCTCTCGAATCCTTCATGAAACTTGTTGGGGTATTCGTTTAGAAGTTGTAGGAATTGGTTTGAAGGAATATAGCTCCTAAACTTTGGAAAACTTGAGAGCAACAAAACCCATATCCAAAAGCATCAAACTCAAGTTTTAGGAATCCTCGTTACTCGATTCTTGTCTCAAAACATTGTCCAAAACTTCACATAGATGAGGCCTTGACCGACCCTGAATTGTCCAAAACATACTTGATTTTAAAACTTGAAGTTTCTATAGTTCTTGTTGGAAATATCTTCTCTGATGAGGGTGCTACTAACCTTAGTTTTGAATTATGGTCGTCGGATCTAAAGTACTTCGAGTCTTCTTGAACATACTGCATTTTTAGCTTGATCCAACCATTAGATTTGAAGATGCTGGTGATTTTGTCCAGTTGACTCATTCTGAACACAAAATCTGGGTTTAGATTCGGCGTAGGGGTATTTTCGTAAATAACTTGTATAGGGGCATTTTTGTAATTTGTCATTTTTTAAATATTTTATTCTGAAAATTCAAACTTTTTCTAAAACTTTACCCCTTTTTTGTCATTTTCCTTTCTTGAGCACTTTGAAATTCCTTCTCCCTAAGAAATTAAAAATCCAAAAAGTTATTTAAAAATTGAAAAAATGATCTTTTTGCCATTTATGATTTTGGTTTTTTTTTTTCCAAACCTTTTCCAAAGACCTTGAATGTTTATAATCCTTTGTTAGGGTATTGAAAATCTCTTCTTTGGGTCCTTAAACTTACCCAAGTATCTTAACCTTACTTGGGGGTTTTACATAAGCTTTTCTCCCTTGCAATAGAGATATGTTATTCTCTGAAAATAAAATAAGGAAAACAGCCAGCTTAGCTTGCAACAGTTTTCACTATCGAAGGAGAGAAAGACTGGGTTCTTTTTATCTTTCTTTCCTTATTCCAAGGGTTGAGTAGTCATCTAATCCTTCTTTAATAGTCTGATTAGTTGTAAAAGTTTTTTGAAGATCAAGCCTTTGCCTGGATGGTTTATTGGAAAATTTATAAAGGTTTATTGGAGTGGTTGAAGTTATTTGTAGATGTTATTTGAATTTGAAAAACACATGGACATTGAAGCGGGTGTTAACGCCTCATTCCTTGAAGAACAGATTTCATTTAGGTTGGGGACTTCATTTCTTTAGCCTTTTTCATGCTCAAATGAAGCTATTTTTGTGGTTCTTGCTTCTAAAATTAGAGTGATTCATGATATCATTATCCAAATTATTTTTTGCAATATGAGACTGACTGTTGATTTTATGCCATCTTGTTAACATAGGAGTTCATTTCTGTTGTATCTTAGATTCAGAATCAGAAGTTATGTTCTTATGATTTTCACCTGGTTAATATTCATATTTCATTCTTTTTGAGCAGATCCTGCAGCGAATCTAGTTACTTCTGGACCTTATGGTCTTCTATTTGCTTCCTTTGTACCCTTCTTCTTTGATATTCCTGTTTCAACTCGGTTCCGTGTATTTGGAGTTCGTTTCTCTGACAAGTCTTTCATATATCTGGCTGGTCTTCAGGTTAAGGACTGTTTGATTTCTACTTTTTGTGATACCTGCTTTACTTTATTTGCTGTCTAATCTAGTTTTATTGTTGATGTTCCCAGCTCCTACTGTCCTCGTGGAGAAGATCCATCTTACCAGGGATATGCGGAATTCTTGCTGGTTCCTTATATCGTTTGAATGTATTTGGCATCCGCAAGGCCAAGGTTAAATTCAAAATTTGCATAATCAAATTGGTTCCTTAGTTTTCTTTCTGAAATTTTAATTCTGTTATTTTAGATTGTAGTTTAGGCTTTTGGTATCTGTGCAAACTGTGGAAATTAAACTCAGGTTAGGTGGTTTATGGCTTGTCGTTTTTTTTTTTTTTTTTTTTTT